AATGAAAAGAAAAGAAAAACACACCAAATCTAAATACAATTCAGTCTAGGTGGTCGGTGTTCTGGCAAAAGAAGTACCAAAAATAGAAGAAGAAGACTATAACCAATTAAAGAGATATTTGCAAGAAGGATATATAGAAAACAATCTAGATAAAAAGCAAAGGAAATAAATAATTAACCATAGTAGAACATTTTTACTAAAAAATGGTTTATTATATAAGATAAATAAAAAGAATCAAGACCAATCTTTAAAAGTGGTCTAGAAACATGAGATCGACTCTATTCTTTTATTAATGCATGATCACCCACTCGGAGGGCACTTTGGGGCTAAACTGATGTTTGAAAAAATTTGCAAGACCTATTATTGGCCCCAAGCATTTGAGTATATTAGAAGATATATTCAATCTTGTAAAAATTATCAAAAAAGAGGGAAAAATAAATATAGCAGAACTTATAGCCCATACCGGTGATGATGCCATTTTATAAAGTGAGATAGACATTGTTGAACCTCTACTGATCACACCCAGAAACTCCTGCTATATAGTCATAGCAACTGACTATATGACGAAATGGCTGGAGGCCAGAGCCATTTCGATCACAGATGCTCAAAGTGTAGCAGATTTTATCTTTGAGGATATCGTGTGTAGGCATAGATACCTCATGAAAATACTCTCAGAGTGTGGTACCTACTTTAGAAATCAACTAGTCGATAGATTGTTAGAAAAATTTAAGATAAAGCACTTACTATCAACACTGTACCACCCACAGACCAACAGGTTGGTAGAGCAATACAACAAGACCTTGTGCAAGTCTATTGCAAGGTTAATAGATAATATTAGTGATTGGAACCTTGTTGTACCTGCAGTATTATTTGCATACCATACCTTTAAGCAAGCAACTACTAAAATCACAACATTTTTCCTGATGCATGGAAGAGAAACTTGCCTACCTATTGAATCAGAATACATATTAGAAGAGACCATACTACAAAGAACATTCCAATTGTTAGAAGACTTACTGGTAACGCACGATGAGGCTGTGGTAAGAATTCAGGAGGCTCAACAAAAACAAAAAGAACAGTATAACTAAAATGCCTATTTTTCAACCGATTTGTCTATTACTGATAAAGTCCTGTTGTACCATGCTTCAAAAAAAATATAACCGAAGCGTGAAATTAGAACCAAAATGGGATGGTCTATTTTACATCCATCAGATACTAAAAGAGGATGTGTATAAATTATGAACCATAGAAGAAAAGGTCCTAGTGACACTGTTTAACGTTATACTACTGAAAGAGTATTATGAGCAGTCTGGATAGATAGAACACTATATATGTAGTTATAAAAAAAAAAAATATAAAAAAAAAATAAAAAAATTCCAAAAGAGGATCTAGAAGATCGAGACGAATTACCAAAAAGAGCGAAAAGGTTTCTAAAATCAATCTAAAGTCAAGGATGAAAAAGAGAAAAAAAGGATACAAAAATATGGGAGAAAGAGAGTAAAAGTTTACAGATCAACAAAAATTATGCTTATATACAAACAAATGCCCAGAAATCTTATCACATTGAATGAGATCATAGCTGATGTCACGAATCTACTCCTGATCAATGTTAACCCAGCACCCCGCCCTTTTTAATAACCAATGACTACCCCAGAAATATAAACCTAATGATGAATCATCTCCAGAGAAGCCTGAGGTTGAGGCAACATATAAATTCGTTAGTGTATATATACTACTTAGGAATGTTATATGCCAACAGAACCTGCTAGCAACAAAGCCAGTTTAGAGATATGGTTAAAAGGCACTACTACACCACTGCTGTCTGTGCCTATGATGTATTCTTGAAGTATGGGATTGAACAAATCTATCGAACGACCAAGTTGGGGCTCAATGACCTGTGCAAGCTAAAACTGCATGATCTTTAACAGCTTACCGAAGAAGATCATGCGTGGGATGCATAACTTAAGAAGGAAGGAAATGTGAGTCCCAGAATATAACACGAGGACCCAGTAATTGGTCACATGAAAAATGTACAAAGTGCAATTAATTACATTTTGGATCGAGAATAGTATATTAGATCTAAAGGAGTATATGGGAGGATAAAGAGAGGATATCAGTAGAAATTAAACATTCTTAAAAACATTACAGAAAATAAACTTAATTAGTATTATATAGTTTTATTAAATATTAGTTGTGAAGTCGCATTTTTGAGTGACTAAATTTCATCTTATAAATAAAGGCTGAATTGGCCCTCAAGAGCAGCATTCACTCGTTGCTTTATTAAATAATAAGTTCCAATTATTAAACAATCGCCCAATAAATAATACACTAATACTATACCCTGATAAACCCTATATAACTATCATAAACATCATTGTTGCTGAACCCTTTATCATGTGACTTAACCAACCTGCTTTCATTGTTCTCAAGTAACTGAAGCCTTAATCACCCACCAGCCAAATCTAATACGCCTCTTTTATAAGGTTACTTGCCACAGGTTATGCGAGTTTTTGGATTAAGGAGTGACCAAGTCACAGTTATTCAGAACACAACACTAGATTATACCAATGCCCCAGGTGCTAGAAACTTCTGGAAGTATTTGTATTATTATACAAAGAAATGCAGACTGGTATAGATAGTACAAACTCACAATAAGGCTTCTAAGAAACAAAAAATGTTAAAGGTATCTATACACAAAATCTAGAAATTCAGAACCAGCTTGAAGAACTCCAAGCCTTGGAGAAGTCCTGAGTAAGGATTAGCAGCTTTCAATAGTACTACAAGAATGGTCCAGAAATAGAAATTCAGATGACAAAGATCTTCAGTTAAAAAGATCTACTAACTAGACTACTAGGATTACTAAAGCTATATTAAATATATATTTATTAGTTACTTTATACTTAGTGTTTAGTAAAAAATCCTAGAATAAGATCTTGAAGAAAAAGAACTTGTATTATAAAAGCTTGTACCAAGGATCAGAGACCTTCAGACCCAAGATTGAAACTCTCAGATCTGGGCAGACCAATCTTTCTGGGCTATCTGAATTGGAAGATCGAAGACCAAAGTATAGAGTATGAATGTGAGTACTAGGGTCATGAACCTTACAAGAAGTGAGAAGTAAATAATATGAGAACTAATAGGAAGGTTGTGCTTGAGATACAAATTGTGTTACAGCAGCACTCCTTAAGGTGGCATGAGATACAAACACAATGGCAGCAAACAATATATGCTAATTGGAAAGAATATTACTGAACAAGCACATACTGTGTGTGTAATACAATATGCAGTATCAGGTTTATCTTGAGAATCAGCCAAAGTGAGTTCTAAGATGGGTACTAAAAGCTAGAGATATCACAAAATTTATGTATAAATAGTAAGTTACACCTGGGTTAGATATAAGGGCTTTGGGTTATAATTAGAAAGTTTAAATAGATAACTCTTTAGTTAGGTTGCAGATATAGCAAATAGTGTAGAACTTTCAGACAGATTATTTAAATTAAATACCAAAAGTGCACATATGGCTAGTTGTACTTTCATCATAATTGTATAAGTTTTGAATATCAAATAAAACAGTTCCTGGTTAAAGAAGTTATCTTAACAGTAAAAAAAAAAAAAAAAACTTTACAATAAAGTTTAATAAATTCTTATAATAATTACTTTATAAGTACTTAGTTATATTTTAAAAAATTAAATAATTAATTACTTTATAAGTAATTAGTTATATTTTAAAAAATTAAATAATTAATTACTTTATAAGTAATTAGTTATATTTTAAAAAATTAAATAGTTATTTATCTTTTTTTAAAAATATAATTAGGTTAAAATTGAAGTTGAAGTTAATATTAAAATTGTATAAAATCATTTTTTATTAGTATATTTAAAGCAAGTTTATTATAAAATTTTATATTAGGGTGTCAACTTAGTGAAGTGGTGAAGTTGTTGTACTCTTAGCCTGCAGGTCTAGAGTTTAAATCTCATGAATGCTATTTTTAAAAAATAGCTCTATGATATAGTTAATAGCTATTCAATGATCAGTAAAATCTAGAAATCTGTAATCTTGGTCACACTACTAGAATGTGAGCTTTGGTGTAATAAATTTGAAATACCACAAGAACTGAAAACCCATTTGGAAAGTTTCAAGTTGGGAGGTAGTATGATCTTTAATAGTACTACAGGTGGACCGAATTTAAAACTAGAGACTAAGATCGGAGAACTAAGTGACCAGGTCTTTAAGTGAGGGGATATACTAACTAAACCACCAGGTTACCAAACTGGATAAAAAAGTATGTGCTTTGGAAGCATATATCAAAAAAAAAAAGACCATATAGACACCTAAGGTCTAGGTGGACCAACTCTTTCAAGTTGCTAGCTAGAAGTAAGAGAGAGACTGATAAAGAATCAGGAAAAGAAGAAAAGTTTAAATATAAGTACTGAAGTTGTGCAAACCCAAATACAAGAACAAGAAGTACATAATAACTACTAAAATAGAAAGGTTGTGGTTTAAAATATGGATCAGGTTATGGCAGTATTCTAAAAGATAGCTTAAAACACAAACTCAGTAGTAGCATCACAACAGATACTAGATTAGGAAGAAGTTACTGAACATGCAGGTGAATACATGTATGAGACATGTACTACTCTGTTAGGTTTATCTCAAGGATAAAGTAGTTCTAGGTAGGGTGTGAAATCTACAGATATTGCAAAATTTAGCATATGAATAGTGTGTTACACCTTGGTTAGGTAAGAAATGACAGGCCAGTTGTAACTAGAAAGTTTAAATAGGTAATCTCATAGTTGGGTTGCAGATATGGCAGCTAGTGTAAAACCTTGGGCAGACTACTTAAATAGGCAACCAAAATTTGTAGGTATAGCTAGTTGTACTCTCACTTGTAAAAGCCAGGGAGCTTAAATAGCTAATCTTCTAGTTATATTGCAGGTATAGTAGCTAGTGTAAAACTTGGGCAGACCACTTAAAATAGACAACCAAAAGTTGTATGTGTGGCTAGTTGTACCCTTATCATAATTGTAAACATTGTTAATTATCTAATAAAAAGCC